CTAAATAATATAGAAATAATTACTTTAAAAAGTGCTAGAAAATCCTTCCTTTACATGTTAGGATTAATTTTTGTTTTCCATTTTTAGGTCATGGAGAAGAGAAGTTAAGCAGATAGACAATTCATATTTGGGCTATGAAGCTTAGGTTCATATTTTAAATCAAAATAAGTATCTCCCTGGAATAATTATAAGACGGCACAGTTAACAAGCTTTAAAACTGTCAGTTCCCTTTTGAAACGTAGACCATCCTATATCTTCAAAAAACCCCAAAGCTAACAAACTAGTTCCTGCCTAATTGCCAAACACTGATTTGTATGAAGCAGTTGAGGTTACAAAGAAATCGTGAATTCTCAGCCTGGTTTCCCTGCTGATGAGTAAGAACTGTCTGTGTAGTTCTCCCAGAGGTGTCAGTGGAATCTCTATAGTGTCACACAAGGGTTCTTAGCTCAAAGTAAACACACTTTCCACAAACTCAGCTGCTTAATCTGTTTGCAGGTTGAATTATAAGATGGGGGGTGGGTGACTCTGGGTGCTGGGAAGATGCACTGAGCATTTCCACAGTTTCTTGATAAAAAGGGCATGCTATTGTCATCAAAAGACCTCACCCAACTGTGTAATTTTACTACAGGCTCAAAGAACTGATTTTAGCAATAATTAAATCTAACCTGGCCAAAATTTTCCCAAGTAGTTAAGCACGTTAAATTGCATAAATTCTTTTCATTATTACAGTGCATTGGCAAAACTGTCATTCAGGTTATTTCTGCACTTTTATTATAACCACCTTGGTTTCAGGGGATTAAAATATGACTAAAAATTTTCCTCTGGGACAAATCTCAGTCTATAAATTCACAGTCCACAAATAGCAAGTATTTTTTACTAAAATTAAAAACAGTAACATAATTGCTTTCCAGTTAGAACATTACAGGGTACATTTTTCTCTTATGTTGTTTTTAATATTTGCGTAAGTTGAACACACTCTGAATCGGAAATATTAATTTATCAGGCTAAAATACTTATAATTATATAAGTATGTACTTTATACATAAAGTCCTCAGAAATGGTCCACGAAGCCTTCACAATCTATACAGCATCAAGCACACTTTGGACAATCACAAATAAATAATAACAGACAACTTATATGAATTTGTCAAAAAAATGATATTAGAAAGTGACTCCAGAAAAGATGCTGTAATTGCTTCTCATAAGTTTATTTTTAAGTAAACATGGCTAATATTCTGAGTATTTCTTACATATACATAAGTATTTAGATCACAGAACTTAAGGATTCTCAAGTAACCCCTGTGGTTTCTGAAGTGATGCCCTATTATACTTTTTTCTACTTATTAAATGTATGTTTGAATTAATTTTAATTATGTACTGGTCCCTGCAATGTTTATGGGCTAGTTTCTAGCTGCAATGTGAACTATGCTGGGCTAGGGTGTTGTTGCAGTTGTGATAGTCCAGGGAATATGTGAAAAACAAGGCGACCGGGGGAGCGGGGGAGGAGTGGCAGGGGGCGGTTGGTGATATTTTTCACTGGACTAATAGGTTCTTTCCCAGACCTGAGGAAAGGTACTTTGTGCCTGAAAACTTGCCTAGCATCTCTCCCAACTAGAGAGGTTACTAGTTGGTTCATTCAAAAATATAATCTAAACCCTGCTTATTTCTTGCATGTGAGTTATGGCACATGCTTGGAAATATATAAAGATATGGGACAAATGATGGGAACTTTCTGTCTGAATTCAGAAGCCACTGCCTTATGTGGAGGCCATCTGGGGTTTCCATGTATCATGAATGTGTAAAGCAGGGCCAGTGAGTGAAAAGGCATGGTTTGCACCTTGGCTCATGACAACAATTTTATGCACATCCTGGGTTGGGGCCAGGCACTTGTGTCTGTTGTCCTGGAGGACTGGGTTCCTGAAACTCCAGGAGTGATCCCATGACAAAAACAATGTTTGTCTGTAGCTTTAGTGTTCAGTGTTTAGTAGTTCTTTTTAACATGAGGTCTTACATTAGAAGGTATTTTCATTTACCTAGTTTGATCCAAAGTCTGCTGAAGTCAATGGGAGTCTTCCTATTGATTTCAACAGAATTTGTATCAAATCTATAAATATATGGCCCAAAACATCCCAGGCATACAAAGCTAACACAGTTGTACATTATTAATATCGTTGTACATAATATAAATGAAATTGCATTATTGCCATAATATTTCCATGTATGCAAAGGGCACTGAAAACCATTTCAAACTAAAAAAAATTAGTTTAAGAACACTTTTCATACCTTGGATAGACATAAAAACACTTAATCTATGATGCTATGAGAAAGCATATCATGCATCCTATAATTCTTATATAATAAAGGGCTAAGTCCATCTATCTGTCTGTCCATAACACTCTTGGAGCACTCTGATTGGTTAGTGAAACAACCAATCAGCCTGTGGAACACTCCCGTGACTGCAGAGACAGAGGGGATGGAGTGGGGAGGTGAGGCCATCGGTGTTGGTCTTGCCCCCCACTCTGTCCTTGCAGTCATGGTGGCACTCGGCCGCCTCTGAGGAGCAGGGCTGGGGGGGGGGGGGGGGGGGCCCGCGGGCTGGGGGCCGCCTCGGGGGGGCGGGGCGGGGGGGGGGGGTGAGGCCCACAGTGCTGGAGGTGGTGGCATGGGGTGCTGGAATAGTGGGACAGAGGGGACGGCAGGGCAAGCTTCCCTCCCCACCTCTGCTCCTGGGAGGCGGTGGTGGCACGGGGTGCTGGGTGGCGGTGCTCCATTTCCCCCCCCCCGCCATCATTCTTGATGGACAATTGGCTAGTTTCATTATAATGCTGTTGAAAACATTATCATTTAGAAACCTTTGACAGAAGTGGCCACAGAACTCAGAGTTTTACCTTTAATAACTCCTTTTCCAAAATGAGTCATAAGTGAGCATGTCTACATGAGACACTAAATATGCAGTAGACTAATTCTGTTGCACATTAGTGTGTCATGGCAAAAGCTGTGCTAATGTTCAGTAGAATTAGCTTACTGCGCATTAGCATCACAAAAAACTTCACCAGCACTCCTACGCAGTAGTGCCGGTTACAGTGCATTCAGTTAGTACCTGTTATTGCAGGTTACTAAACTGAATGCGCAGTAACCATGGTGCCTTAATGAATGCATAGATGTGCCCAGTGAGTACTGAATCAAAGCTAATAGTATCAGGAGAATCCCATTCAGCTCAACATGCCTTAATTTAAAACAATGTAATCAGAAAAGTGACTGGCTTTGTGAGCTTCCAAGTATGGTCTCCTCCTGACTTCCCCATTTGCTAAATGTACAAATGTGACAATATTGCCCCTCATATCACTGTACATTTTGTCTGGATTCTGAAAGTCAGTCTGGGTTAACCTCTTTCTACCTTGTTCATCACCACCTAAATGATACTACACTGATCTTAGTTAACAATTCTGTGAACGATGCACAAGGCTGGATGAAATCCAGTTCATTTTCCCAGAACCGTGTTGGCTCTACCATACAAAAAGAACAAGCAGTAGAAAAACCTGATTTATCATTGAAGCAAGTGGAAGCAACTCAATATATAACAAGGAACTGAGCTATAGAATAAGAGCTTACTACTCTTACTACTACAATTTTAAACAGCCATTTTTTAACCTCAACCGTACTTTAAACTGTAGTCAAAATATTGAAAGGAATGATATTTCATAGGGCTGTGCGAAATAGCACCATTTGGTTTCGACTTCTGTTTCACCATTTTGAAGGGACAGTGTTTCATTTTGCTGTTTTGAAGGGCTATTCCATTTTGTTTCATCGAAACTGTTTCACTGTTTTGGCCCCTGGATCTCCATGTGGGATGACAGCAGGCTGTCGCTGCCGGCTGGGGCCAGCGCCAGCACTGGTTTCTTCCCAGCACTTGGCACAGGCTGCCTTGGGCAGACTTGGGTGCTGGTGCTGGCACTGGCCCCAGCTAGCAGCAGCAGCATGCTGTCATCCTCATGCTTCGCATCTGATGAGTGCAGGGCTTTTAAAAAAGCCCTGCACTCACCGGCTCTGGCAGCAGCGACTAGGGCCTCCAGACACTTGTGGCAGAGCCCCCCCGTGCAGTGCGGGGCAGCGGGTATTGCCCCCCTTTCCCCTGCCTGGCACCCATGTGGCAGCTGCACCATTGCGTGGGTGCAGCATGACTCAGCAGGGCACCATGCACTGTCCCAGAGCTGGGGCAGATCCACCTGTCAGCTGGAGCTCCCGGTTCGATTCTCCAGCTCTCTGATCATTCCTCCATCTCTTCCCAGGGGATGAGGCCCTTGGATCTACATGTGGGGTTTCAGCAGACTACTGCTGCTGGCTGGGGAAATAGCCCAGAGCCACCACCTGGCAGCGGCAGCCTGCTGTGATCCCACATCAGCCAGGAAGAGCTGGGGAAAGACTGGGGAGCTGGGGAATCGAACCAGGAACTAGGAGAATGTTCTGGGACCTAAACATTCTCCCAGCCTCTGGTTCAATTCCCCAGTCCCTGGTTTGATCCCCCAGGTCCAGCAGGCTGGAGCCAGCAGCAGCACCACAGTCTTCCTGGCACAGGCTGCACCAAGCAGCTGCTGAAACCTGCTTGGGGGCCTGTGCCCCCTGGGAAGAGCTGGGGAAAAGATCAGAAAGCTGGGGAAAGCGATCAGAGACCTGGTGAATCGAATCGGGAGCTAGATGTCAATAGCAAACCAGTCCTTCCCTCCCCTCTTTCCCCTCCCTCTCCTTAGTTTCTGGTTAGTTGCAAGCAAACCCGGCTTCGAAACTTGAAATGTTTCAAAACTTTCAAAACATTTCAAGTGCCCCTGTTCTGTTTCCAAGCTGTTTTGAAGCCTTTCACTTAATTTCAATTTCGCTGTTTCGAGCTCAAAACACATCAAAACAGCTTTGAAATGAAACATCCATTGAAATTTCGCACAGCCCTAATATTTCATTTGGCATAAACATGCCATTTTTCTAGAAGTAAAGACAACTTGACTTACTTTTGAATTTTTTTGTCGGCCTCTTCTGAAGCTTCTAAAGCTCCCTGAAGTTTCAATTCCATGTCTTTTCGGTCTGTTATGGCTTTCTGCAGTTTGGTTGCTAACTCTTGATTTTGGCGATAAGTAGCGGACACAATATCCTCCCTGCTTTTCAGTGCGTCTTCATATGTACTAAGGGTACAGTTAAGCTGATCCTTCAGGCTTACTTCTTGGGATAAAGATTTGTGTAAGCTGGTAAAATAAAGATACGCATATTATTAACTCACAATATAAGCTCCAAAGTTGAATGGTAAGAATATCACACTTAGGTTAATATATTTACAATTATTATACATGGATCAGTATGAGGCAGATCTTTATTATATACCTAAACTGGAACTCCTGGAAAAACAGAGAAAGATGTAAGTGGACTGGTGGTACATATGATGAATGAAGAAATTGTATATAAATGTAATGTTGAGCTGACAAATCTCTCTATTATTAACTCAAAGGAATGTAGAAATTAAAAACAATCATTTTTAAAATGTTCTTTTCTTAAGCGTATAACTCGCATTCTCAGATTAAGAAAAAAAAGGAATACATCTAAAAATTAAATCTTTGTAGATGAAATTTGTGTTCAATTCAAGTTCAGTTTTACGATATGTTCCATGAAAAAAGTTGCATATATGATTTACTGAGTGTGGATTCACTAATATAACAAGTATATCAGACTTTATTTCACATGGGAAAACCATGGCTATATATTCTCTCTTTCTGTCTCCAGACCCTTCCTTCTCCCATCACTGTGTTTCTCTGGCCATCCCTTCTGTCCCTCCTCAAACCTAATGAGAATAGTGCTGGAATCTGCACTGAGATCCTGTCTGGGAAGGTACTATACACATGGACAGTCGAAGTACATCATGTCCATGTCCTCACCACCCATCCTGACAAGACCTCAAGGCAGCGCCTAGTGGAAATGACATCAGAAGAAGCCTGTCCAGCCTGATGCACCCTGTACAAACCGCCCATCACCAAAAGAATTGGTGATTTTCAGTAGCAACTGCTGCATGGGGCTCTGGCCATGGGCACCTCTGTCTGCCACTTAGACCCAGCAGCTTTGGCAACTTTCCCTTTCTGCAAGGAGGTAGTAGAGGAGACCCTGTCTTCCTGGACTGTCCCCAGCTCCAGCCACTCTTTGCTGCCCTTGACATACTAGACTTGGACTTCTCCAAGACTGTGTGCACTTTCTTTATCCTATACCAACAAGCCAAAGGGAGCATGATCTACCTAGTTAGTTTTTCACTACGCCAGGCCAACATGGTCACCCTGAAAAGCTGCAGAAACTAGCTTGCAAGGGCTAGCTCTGAAGAAACCCTCCAACTCTTCCACTTCTTTGTCTGGGCACAGATCACTAAAGAACTAAATATGTGTAGTGTGGCTAAGCCAAAAACAAAGAGAAATGTGTAACACCAAGACCTGAGTGATTATGTAGGATGGTACATAAGTTAAAAAAGGGAAAATCTGAATGACTATCAGGAAAAAACTTCCTATGAGTAAGTTTTATTAGGGTGTGGAACAAATTCCAAGAAAACATCAGAGTTAGTAAGAAAGCTTTTTTTATTAATAAACGTCCAGTGAGGGACAGTCTCGCACTGACAGGCTAATGGATTAGTTAGTACATCTTTTCCATTTCTAACCATCATCCTTCTATGATTCACCTGAGTGCGAACTGACTCCAACAGTAGAAGAAAGCTGGGAACTGATTTACTACAAAGTTGGCAGTAACAGGTGCAGGCTGTTAATAGCACAGCTGAGGTTACTTCAGGACTAGTTCATGAACACTAGAAGCTGTTAATAAACCGATTACTTAAATTTCTTCATCTGAGTGATGATCGTGAAAATATCAAACATTATTTACAAAGTCCTTTCCAAGTCTCATATTTGAAATGCAGACCAAATAAAATACTCCAGCCAAACCCTGCATCCAGGGTTTTGGCATGCAGAAACACGTTTGTTTTTTCTTTTAAGGTATTTCTTTTAAGATATTGAAGACGTCACTACCCCACCAAGATATATAAGGATATCACATAATAATTAAAATATAATGTACATGCAGAAGTAAACTGTAGATGGATGAATAGAAATCTAAAAGTTAAAGGTCAGAATGTTCATATGTCATTACACCTACTGCTTGAGGTTGTTTGAAAATGGTATGAAGCACTTATTCAGTAAAATAAAGACATTTTGAAAATGCACATAGTCTATAAAGGGACATGAAAAATCCACAGAGGAGAGGCATTAAAAATTAAACAATTTTAGAAGTTGTATATAAAATGTATTGACAGCAGTTTCACTATTGATGGTCAACTCTTGTGTGCCACTAAGAAAAGCAAATAAGGTCTGGAAGCCATGCTCTGACCTGAGAACTGAGGATGATTTTGCTTAATGGAATCCATTTTTTAAATACCTGGCCCAAGGTTTTTTAAAAATGGGACATTTAAGCTAAACTCTTGTGTAAATCTTTAGGCAAATGGCCTGATTTCCAGCTGTCCTGAACATTCAACTATTCCCATTACCTGAGAGCTGCTGGTTTTCTTCAGGATTTCTGCAAAATCAGTTCATTTATTTCAGGGGCAGGCAATTATTTCAGGCAGAGGGCCACTTACTGAGTTTTAGCAAGTCATCAAGGGCCACATGACAGGCAACCAGGAGCAGATAAATATTAATTTTCTAAATTTTTTAGGCGCCCCATGGGCCAGATAGAATGGCCTGGTGGGCTGCATCCGGCCCATGGGCTGCATTTTGCCCACCCCTGATTAGATGCCTGAAAGATTGACTTTGGGTGTCTAATAATTAGGCTCTTTTTGAAAACTGTGGTCCTGAGCAATATGTGTGCAGTGTAGTTACACGTTTCCCTCATGTTGATTTCATTTCATTAGTATATAAAGTGATTCTAACATATATTAAATGCTGTAAACTAATCTGAAATCATTACATATAAGGTTAGTATTATATATAAAGGTAAGTTATCTTACTTATATTAACTTTTTTTTCAAAAGATTATAAAACACAAATTGAAGTTTACATGTGATTTAGTAAAATGTCTTCCTTAGGACCATGGCACCCTTCCAACAGTTATTTATTTGTTAATAAAACTATTTATTTCTTTAGCATTTTAAAATAAAATGCATCAAGGACCAGCCCTTTGTGATGGCATAGACTCAAGGTATATGGATGGCTCAGGCCTGAAGAATGCTCTGTTTGAATTATTTCCAATTTTTTTCAGGGCGATGAAAATTCAAATTTTCTGCCTCTTGGATTGCTCTGCCACTGTAAACTTATAGCTTCCCTTGTTGATCTTAGATGCAATAGCTTCATTTAATTTCATTCACATGAATTATGTCCAGCCTGGAAGGGAGTGAATGTCAAAAGTAGCAGGATGCTACCTACGCACTGTGTGACCACATATATAAGTGACCTCAATGTTACAACAGCTTTGAGGCTGCTATATATTATAACTAGCTACAACAGTCCACAAGAGGCTTTCACATTAACTGGAGATCATTCGCTTGGTCATGTCACCTCCCTACTTCTGATGTTTATTTGTTTGTACATTACCTAAGATATTGATACAGACCTTACCTATGATCAGGACCCTTTTGTGTTGTGATACAAGCAAAATATCAGGGCTAGGGACAGACATTCAAAAAGCTGCGCCTGAATGGATTCAATCTTTGCAGGTTAGTCTAACCTGGATAGGCAGAACTGGTTTGTAACCTTACAGACATCCCTTCTGGACTGAAGAAATGCAGGCACATGCCTGCTGTGTCTCAGGCTAGAAACCAGGGGAGAGGGAGCTAGAGCAGCCCTCCCTTCCCTTCTACAATGCTGAGCTGAGGGGGGCATGGCCAGGCCCTGAGGGGACCTGTGATTAGGGAGGGTTCCTCCCTTACTGCTCCTGACCAGCCCAAAAGGGAGTTGATAACAGAGCATTTAGCTCCCTATCAAGAAAACAAAAGTCTCTCTCATTAGTTCAAGCTCTTCTTAAAGAACTTTTTCCAAGGAAAGACATTACCAGCTGACCTGTTGATTAGCTCCAGAAGCCCTAAGCGGACACTGTCCTGTCTGCCTTACAACGACACCTCTCAGCATTACCTAGCATATCACATCCTGGCTACAGTCTGTGCTGTGGGAGAGGGGAGGGGGGAATCCCTGCTTGAGCAGGGAGTGGTGGGGGAGGGGCATGGGGAAGCCAGGCAGATGCTGCTGTGCCTGCCATCTCTGCCAGAGCTCAAGCCAGGGAGCAGAGGGGAGGGGCCAGCCCAGCTTTCTGCAGCAGAGAGCCCCACCAAGGGCTGCAAAGCATCTGGGATGCTGGAAGACTCTGGTTTAAGTTAAACCAGGAAGAAGCCTGGGACACACATTGCAAAAATCATTTTGACTCAAATCAGTTAAGTCTGACACTACATTCAACCAGGTTTATCTCAAACCAGTTTCAGCCATTTTTAAACTGGTTTATGTGCACTGAATATCTGTTCCGTTACAGGTTTACAGGTTTAAATCAATTTCTGATCACTTAAACTGGTTTATGTGTAATGTCTGTCCCTAGCCAAAGTAATAACAACTAGAGGAAACCCCATTTGCCTTTGGATCCTTCTGCATTGCTGTATCATGGCCAACTACCAATCTTCCATTCCTTAGCAAGATCAGAGGCTGTGATGGCGGCGTGCCGCCATCACGGGCACAGGCTAAGGTCAGGAAGGGTTGTGGGGTGGATACAACCCCAAGACAGAGCCCCGGGTGGGGGTATTTACCTCCCGGAGAGATGGCGGCGTCAGAGCCGAGACCGCGGCAGCAGCTGCAGCCTCAATTACAGCCGCACGAGCAGGCATTATGCGGGTTCTTTAACCGAGT